GCGCCAGCGATCGAGATTATTTTTTTCGCAGCTTCAAAATTGAAAGTTCCTTTGCAATAAGTAGCAATCTGTGCTCCACGATAGATTGTAGAAACAGTGCCGAGAAAAAGCTTCTTTTTTACCCTTGTTTTCGTCGGAGAAAAAAAAAAAAGAGTGTTCCCCGGCAGCAATAGAGGCCAGCCACGTCAAGGTGCTTTTGCGCGAGCTGTGTGCCGAGAGAACTAGTGTCACGTGAAACATACTCACTTATGTTCGGAATACTTTATAGACCCTTTCAGGCAACATTTCATGGGCGCCGCCATCTTGACGTCACGTGACCCTGCCGCCATAGCCGCCCTTCAGTTACTCGCCGTTCCTCCGCGTTGTGTGCTGCACCGGCCACTACCGGAGCGTTGTTTTCGCGTTCTTTTACGTTCCGCGTTGAAATAGTGTGTGTTCTGTAGGTATTTTAGATATTTTGGGCTTTCATTTAATCATTTGATATCTATATTTCAACATAGCTCTTGCATTTTCTTATTTATAAAATGGAATCGGACAGCGAATGGTTCGACGATACAAGATTATGGCTGCAGAGACCATGTAAATTCATCCCATTCTAACGTTTTTCTCGCTAATAAATTGCAGTCAACATCATTGCGACATTAGCGAATTTCAACTGACGCAGCAATTAGGCTCTCACAGTCGTGCTTCTCGCTACATGTGCGCGCTCGTTTCCGTAAAGCCGACCCGCATGTAAGCGATATAGCGTTCGACAAGACGAGCGACGGCGACAACGACGAGAGTCAGCAATGAAGATTTCTCACTGTCGCCTGTTACATCGCTCGGTTTTTTGGATTTCTAGAAAACGTCACTCAACGTCTTGGTCGCTTGCTCCCGTCGCTTCCATGCGGTTTGCCTCGTCGCGCGACTGCCCGAGCGACAGCGAAGCAGGTCATTGTCGCTTGTCTCGTTGCTCGCCGAATCGCTTGCATGCGGTTTATACTTAATATCGAAGCGCCAATGGTCCAAGGGTGTGTGCATGGAAATTAATTGAGCATAAACCGCATGTAAGCGATTTAGCGAGCGACCAGATAAGCGACGGCGACCCACTTCGCTGTCGCAGTCAGTCGCGCGACGAGGCAAACCGCATGGAAGCGACGGAGCAAGCGACCAAGACAGTGAGCGACGTTTCCTAGAAATCCCAAAACCGAGCGATGCGACGGGCGACAGTGAGAAATCTCCGTCGCTCGTCTAGTCGCACGCTAAATCGCTTACATGCGGGTCGGCTTTACGGAAACGAGCACGCACATGCAGCGAGAAGCAAGACTGTGATAGCCTTACTGCGTCAGTTGAAATTTACATATGTCGCAATAGTGTTGATTGCCCTTTATTAGCGACAAAAACGTAAGAATGGGATAAACTTACATGGTCATTGAAGCCTCATAATCTTGTATCGTCGACCCATTCGCTGTCCAATTCCATTCCATAAATAAGAAAATGCAAGAGCTATGTCGAAATATAAATATCAAATGATTAAATGAAAGTCCTAAATATCGAAAAGACCTAAAGAAAATACAATATTTCAACGCGCAACGTAAAAGAAAATGAAAACGAAGCTCCGGTAGTGGCCTGTGCAGCACACAACGCGGAGCACCGGCGAGAAACTGAAGGTCGGCTATGGCGGCCCGGAGAGCGCGCGAAGGGCGCGCCGACTGGTGGCAGTTCGAGTAACTGACTCGCTGCGAGTCGAGTATCCTTCAGCAGCTGGAACAGCTTCAAGAGTGGCAAGCGCAAACTCAAGCCGGCTGTGACCATTTCGACATCCGTTCAAAGAAGAGCGCGTTTATAATATTGAGAAAAATAGTGAAGTAACGTAGACCGAAATACAAAGAAAAGAACGGCCGGTTTATTCGTGTGTCATCATGTCTGGCATCCCCGATCCGTCGGTCACGAGCCCCAGGCGCGAGAGCTCATATGCTGGTCATTTGTGTCGGCGTGTCGGCCACGTGTGTCGACGCGGCACTGAACACATGGTCCTTCAAGCTTCGTCATAACACTCCTTCCCCCTTACGGGGAGAAGCGTTGAGGTGGTTGGTGCGTCCTTGTCGGCCTCCGGGGTAACGGAGTCTCCAAAGGTGGAGGCGTCGACCTCCAAAACAGCGGAGTGTCCGGACGTGAAGGTGGAGTTGCCTCTAGATAGTCCGACTGCGCGTCTCGTTCAGTTCCGATATTGTTGGTGTGGGGTATATTGGGCGGCTCACCCTCGGTGCCCCCAGTCTGTGGGTCCGAGGCCCGTGGGTTCACGTCTGCCTTTGTGGAAGTTGAGATGCTGGGAAAAACTAGCGACCTCATCTGGTTGTCATGACGCCTATGCGGGTTTCCTTCAGTGTCTCGCAGGGTCACCATCCGGGAACCTTCAGTTTCTTGGATTACTCCTGGTCTCCAGTTGTCTCCTGCTCCGTAGATCCGGTACCATACCGGCTTGCCAACATTGAATTTCCCAGCCGATGTCTCATCAGCAGGAAGTGTTGGTCGGGGAAATATGTTGTCAAATCGTGAGTGGATTTCATATCCCAATAACATTTCAGCTGGTGTCCTACCCCATGGAAGGGGTGTCCTATGATACCGGTGTAGAAACCTGGCCAACCGAGCCTGTAGGGATCCGCGCGTATTTTTCTTTAACCCTTGTTTACCGTACGTACCGCCCCTTCTGCCAAGCCGTTTGATTGGGGGTGGTACGGGGCTTTGCGCAGGTGACCAATATTGTTTTGGAGCACGAACTGCTTGAAAAGTTCACTAGAAAATTGAGGCCCCATTATCGGATACCAGCGTTCTTGGAAGACCGAACTGGTTAAACAGGGTGCAGAGGGCTTCAAGGATGGTCGCCGATGTTGCAGTCTTGATAACCTGTACGTTGATCCACTTGCTGTGAGAATCCATCACCAACAACAGCATGTGATTATCGATGGGACCCGCATAATCCACATGTAGCCTAGCCTCGACCACTTTTCCCCGGTTTCCGGCCACGGAACGGGCGTCTTTGCTGGTGGCATCCTAGCAGCTTGAATGCAAACCGGGCAAGTCTTTCTGAGGTTCTCGATGCCCATATCCAAACCCGGGAACCAGAAAATTGACCGGGCCAGTGTTTTCATTGCGGAAATCCTTTGACGTGTGTCATGCAGCAGCCGCATCATCGGTTCCTTGGCGCTTGCGGGAACCACAGCCCGATGGCCCCAGTATATCAGCCAATGACTGATCGTTAGCTCTTCTTTGCGAGCAAAATATGGTTGCAGCGCTTCTTCGTTCTTTCCTAACTTGTTTGGTCAACCTTCCTTGATACATTTCCGGAAATGGCAGAGCACCGCGTCTTTGGCGGAAAGGTCAGCTAACTTTTTGGCTGACACTAAACCATCGTCGAGGTGTTCGGTGAGTAATACATACTCTTTTGAGTCTCTCTCTCTTGCCCGTGTTGTGGCGTCATCAGGGCTCCCTTGAACCGGCAGCCTACTCAAGGCATCTACGGGGACGTTCATCTTGCCCGGCTTGTACTGGACTTGGTAGGTGTATGCGCTGAGTAACAGTGCCCAACGTTGTATTCTTGCTGCTGCCATCGCTGGATTGGCCTTCTCAGGGTGAAACAGCCATACCAGGGGTTTATGATCAGTTAACAGCGTAAACTTTTGACCTAAAAGGTACTCGCGAAACTTGGTAACGCCAAAGACCAGGGCGAGGGCTTCCCGCTCGAGCTGTGAGTAGTTCTTGTCTGCCGCAGACAGCACGCAGGATCTAAATCCGATAGACCGATCTGCGCCATCGACTCGATGATACAACACAATGCCGATTCCACAAGGGGACGCATCACACTCTAGATACAGGGGCTGCTTCGGATCGTAATGAGCCAAGAAGTCGGCCTTCTTCAGGAAGTTCTTCACCTGTATAAAGCCTTGTTCCTCGTCCCTGTTCCTGTTCCAAGAGACACCATTCTTGAGGAGAACATAGAGAACCAAAAAGGTGGTTGCAATCCCTTGCAAGAACCTGTGGTAGTACGTCACGAGTCCCAGAAACGATCGTAACTCGACGACGCATGTCGGACGAGGTATCTCAAGAACCGCGTCAATGTTCTCTGCCTTGGGATGCAATCCTTTTGCGTCAATGCGGTGTCCCAAGAAATCTACCGCGGCCTGTCGGAATTTGCACTTTTCTGGGCGCAACTTGACTCCAAACTCCCGGAGTCGCTCTAGAACCTTCCGTAGCAGGTTGCTATTTCCTCTCTTCTCTGCGACGATAATGTCGTCCAAGTATACTTGAACCCCGTGTAGTCCCTGCAGCAGTGCTTCCATTCGACGCTGAAAGATCGCAGGCGCAGATGCGACTCCAAAGGGCAAGCGGTTAAAACAGAACAAGCCCTTCTGCGTGTTCACCACGGCTAGCTGCTTGGCGTCGGCATCCAGTGGAAGCTGGTTGTAAGCATCCTTCAGATCGATGGTACTGAAGACATCTCCGGTATTCGGGTCGGCGAAAATGTCTTGAATTCTGGGCAGCGGGTACTGCTCCTGCCTGCACGCGGAGTTCACTGTGATTCTAAAGTCACCACACAGCCTGATGCCCCCGTTCGCCTTGACCACAAGAACGAGAGGGGTAGCCCATTCTGAGCTAGTCACGGGTGATATTATTTCGACGTTCACCAGCCTATAGAGTTCTTCGTCCACCTTAGTACGCAGCGCGTATGGAACGATGCGTGCCTTGTGAAACCGCGGCGAAGCATCTCCCTGCACTTGTAGGCTAACGGGCAGTCCCTTGATTAACCCCAGGCCTGGCTCAAATAACTCTGCAAATTCCGTGAGTAACCCTTGGATGTTTACGTTGTTTTCCGAGCGTACAGGGATACCGGGTTCATCAGAATCTGTGCTCACAATGTTGATTGGTACTCCCTCCAGATGAAACGCCTGGATGAGATCCCGCCCACATAGATTCGGTCCTGGACATCCCAGGACTATGCAGCGTGCCCGCTTTGGTCTGACCTTGGAAAGACACTTGAACGTCCAGTCGCCCTCGTACAGGTAGTTTGCCCAAGAAACAGGACAGCTGCAGTGACGTCTTGTGTAACCTTGGCCAGTCATCCTGATGCTTGATATACGTGGGCCACGTGACAGTCGACACAGGGGCCCCAGTGTCCAGTTGCAACTTTAATGTCACGCCCCCGCAGTCAAACACTCGGTGAATCGGCTTGACTAGGCTGACACAAGTGACCGTCGAGACCTGTCTCTCAAGGGTGCACAGGTCATACAAGTCATTGCCTGACGCCTCTTTTTCGCAAAGGCCTACCCTGTTCTTCTGCACATAGTCGCCATTTGGGCACATCCTAGCAAGGTGTCCCTCTTGCTGGCATCGGAAGCACCGTGAATTCCGAAAACGACAACGTCTGGCTATATGGCCGGTCTTGCCGCACTTCTCACACCGCCCGAAACTGTCATCTTTCGCATCCTGGTCGTGGTAATTTCCTTCCTTCTTTCGACGGGGTTCTTGTCGCCTTCCACGGAATGCACAGACTTCTTGGTCGCCATGCGTGTTCTGCGGTTGCCCCTCCATTTGCTGGACGTTCAGCGCAGCCAACTCGGATGCCAGGGCGATTTCCTCTGCTTCCTGCCTTGTTAAAATAGGCTTGGCAAGCAGTTTGCAGCGCACTCCAGAATCGTGGAGCCCGCACACAATGCGATCCCGCAGCATACGGTCGAGCACTTCCCCGAAGTTGCAGTTGTCAGCGATCTTGCTTATCTCGAGAATAAATTCCTTCACTGACTCACCCGGCCGCTGACTCCGTGTGAAAAACTTGTACGACTCTGCTATTTCGTTCCTCTGTGGTGAGAAATGATTGTGTAGCGGTTGGACCACTTCGGAGTATTCCAGTTCATTAATCTTTGTGGGCGCGCACCGCCCTGCAAGAACTTCAACTGTCCGGGTGCTGAGCGCTGACACCAGTAAGGCTCGCTTCTTCTTTACCTCTGCAAGATTGTGTGCCTCAAAGTAGGTTTCTAATCGAATCTTGAAGGCGTCCCATCTGTCGGTGGTGTCGTCGAAATGCGGCAGACCATGGAATGTAGCCATGCACTCGTGCCTCTCTTACGTAGCCGTCGTGGATTCGTCGCCACTGAAGTAACGTAGGCCGAAATACAAAGAAAATAATGGCCGGTTTATTCGTGTGTCGCCATGTCTGGCATCCCCGATCCGTCGGTCACGAGCCCCTGGCGTGAGAGCTCATATGCCAGTCATTTGTGTCGGCGCGTGTCGGCCACGTGTGTCGGCGCGGCACTGAACACGTGGTCCTTCAAGCTTCGTCATAACTTCGTCATAACGTGAAAATACTCACTTATGTTCGGAATACTTTATAGCTGCGTGCTGCGAGTCGAGTATCCTTCAGCAGCTGGAACAGCTTCAAGAGTGTCAAGCGCAAACTCAAGCTGGCTGTGACCATTCCGACATCCGTCCAAAGAAGAGCGTTAATAATATTGAGAAAAATAGTACACAATCTAGCACTATAGTCAACATCTTGTACAGTCACATTTGTTATTCAAAATTGGCTCAGTGATTTTTTAAAATTTTTTATAAACACTATATCTGTTTTGGACGTCGAATCTAGGTCGGGCTACTCTCGGAGTTCCACTCGCGCGGCCGATATGTTGAAGACGAGAAGTGAAACGTCAGTTCAAGTCTGAATTTAGACATGACTTTCGACATATTGCTATTCCTGTCTGCTATTACAGAGGTTTATGAAGCAGGTGTTGAGCTCCATTAATATACAACAGAGCCTTTGCCTGGTTTGTCAAACGGTTGGCGTGCAATATTCTCTGCAGAAGAAGTGATGAAAACGTCTGTAATTTATTCTATTGCCGAGAAATTTTATATAGGGATGAAAAGTTTTTTTTTTTTTTTAAACCATGAAAATATTAATGTCGTTGAAGGCAGGCATGCGAATTCACAGCTGATGGAAACTGTGCTAAACCAAAACTTAATTTAAAAAAAAGATCTTATATAGAATTACCCCCTCCCATATGCTTTTGTGGATGGGTGTTTGAACGCGTTGCAATCTACTTCAAAAGAAGAAGAAAAAAAAGAGGGAACACATTTTTTTTAGTAACTTTAGTTAACGTATATTGAATTAAAAGTTTTATGATGTCTTTCTGTACCTTACACACTATTGTATCTTCAAGCAAATATTCTTTATTTGAAGATGAAAAGCGTAGTTGTGTATTTTATACGCATTCCATTACACCTTAATGTTTGGCTTGGTCGTTGCAGAGTTCTTTTAATTGTCATTTTTACACAATCTTCATGACCGGTAACGTGCCATCTGATCTGCACGAATACAGTTCATTCCATTCTATACACTTTATTGTTTACGAGAATCACAGTCTACATGTGTTGGGTCCCAGCCCAGCGCGCACTTGTTCGTCACTTTGGAAGGCGAGCAATGTACGCGCCACACGCACAAGCCCTGGAAATGGCATCAACCAGAAGCGCTTTTCAGAAATGACTTACAGATCTTTTGCTAAATTACTTAAGCACCAAGGAGAATATTCATGCCACAAGAGTAGTTACACGTGCTGGTGCCTGCAACAGACCCTTTTCTAAAGGAACTCTAAAACGAATGGCACGTTCCTTCAGGTTATACGAGCGTGTGGGGCATTTGTACCTACATTTCGAGCATTTTCCGTGGTGCTTTGGCAATTTGTCGAAAAATGTATTGCGTGACTCTTTGACCTTTGTTCGCCAGCCATCTTGTAATAAAAAGAGAATGGATTATTAGCGATATCTCATAGCTTAGGACATAGGCCAAGGTCATACTTTGTGCAAATATAGATAATTGCAAAATATATGTGCAAATAACGTTTTCTCGCCTTTAGACGCAAGAAAGGCGGCCGCGCGCCTCGCTGCACGTCCCTGACGTCACGCTTGGGTGGCGGGGAAAACTGGGGAGAAACTGAGGAGAACGATGTTTCGGTTTCGGCAGCAAACAAAATATCACTTTTTTAATTAACTAGAGTGAATCTGGGAGAACGAGATAGCATTTCGGACTCAAGAAGCCAACCGCATTCAGATTATACCTTTGGATTAGGTAGCTCGAAAAATCGGCGGAGTTCCCCTTTAATAATAATCGCTTTGCTGAATTTTCGCAAACGTGACACGGTACAACACAACCTTTAGTAGGAAGGAACGACAACAAAAACAAGCGTTAAATGAAAAGGGCTCAGCTCGGCCGGGAATGGGCATGCAATGTCAAGATCCATGCTTCTGACTGTACGCCCGAAGCAGACGATGCTGAGCGGTATCCCCGCTTTCGCATGTTCCCGATTTCGGCCGCACGGTGGCGACACGGTTCGATCACGAGGCGAATACAATCCCCCAGAATAAAAAAAAACTAGCAAAAACATGAGTAAATGAAAAGAGAAAAGAAGACCCATGAAATGTAATAGGATCAGATAATAGAGTATTCCCGAAAACACGTAATAAAAAAGGCTCTCTTTTCTCTAGAATTACCTTGCAAGTCGCAAACACTAGTATTTTTTATGGTATGTAAGATTCAATATTATTGGACATGTTTTACATATATATATTTCTAAAGTTACAGGAATTAATATTAGCCGTAAAAGGAGGTGGAACTGCAGTAATTTATACTTATATTGGTGTGCTCTGTTGCTTTTATTATTTGTGCAATACCAGTGGCTCCTGTTCTGTCCCACGCAAAAGCCATTATTGGCTTATGTGGGCTCTATATTTTATCATTTTCAAAGAAAGTAGACAAAGATGGTTTTTGTATTGTATATCATTGTATTGCATAGTCTAGATGCAGCCACTGTCCGGTTTACAAAAATGGTGGAAAAAAAAAAGAAAACTCGCCTTGACTTGAGGACTGAATTGGTTCCATTCGAATCGCTGCCCAAGGTCAGGTTCGTAGGGTGTCTTGTAAGGTCAAGAGGGACGCACGGGACCACTCGAGATGCTAGGAACCAAATGCAATGAGCAATGACTAATTAAGAACAAAGTGAGCACACCCTCCAAGTGCATCAAGCTAGTCAGACACATATGAGAATAACATGCAAGAGAAGCCAGGGATTTGCTCATTTCGAGAAAACAATGACGAATGAATGAGGAAAGGAAATGCATGTGCGCCTAGTAAAGGGTGGTAGCCTGTAAAACCTGACCTAGTTTGAAGGTATGTCAAAACAACCTGTTTGTTTTTAGCATTGCCAGTAGGGTAAAAATACTAAAGGTCTATTCACACGATGCATCTTGATGGCGAATCTTCTGTCGCGAAACTATGTTTCGGGGAACAGATTCCCTGTCTGAACACGACCGAAAAAGTGGCGCGCCTCCGAAAAAAGTGGCGCATGTTCCTTGCTTCTGGAGCAATTTTTCGTTGAAACCTCACCGAGGTCTGCCAATCGCCCGAAGGAGAAACGCGGAGGCTGCCAATGGCCGCTCGACTTCGCTCTGACGTCTGACCTTCGAGGAGGAGCAAGCTTTTGGAGAAGTCTGATTTTTGGCCGATTCCGTATCCGAGCCAAAGCCGAAAGAAAAAACAAACATGGTATTAACCATGTTGAATTAACCTGAGACTGGCGTAGAAAAGAAGCATCGAAACGTAGAAGGGAGAGAAAATAGACAGGACGACATCTCAAACTCAGCCCTGAGCTGAGTTTGAGACGTCTCAAACTCAACTCAGCTTTGAGCTGAGTTTGAGACGTCGTCCTGTCTATTTTCTGTCCCTTCTATGTTTTGATGCTTCTTCTCTACCCCAGTCTCAGGTTAATTCAACGTGGTTAATATTCACCAGCTCGCCTGCACCCTCACGATTTTTTCTACAAACATGGTGAGCGACAAGCGGAGAAGCGGTGCGTATGGGCGACGAGGCTTGGTCCTACTCGGTTGCAGGTGTGTGAACGGCGCTTTGGCAGTACGGGTTGGTGGCACGGCGCAGACTCAACAACAGTCGCAATGAGTGCAGCCACCGCATATAAACATGATGGCTGGGGGTGACTTTTTATTAGCGGTGCAAAAATGTCCGCCATTCTTCGATATCATCCGCCTGTTCTTTGACGTTCGCTGCCTTTCCCGGGTTTGGCAGGAATAGTAAACCCAGTGAGCCGAATCTGACAAAGTTCATGGAGTGGTATTTATAAAACAGACTGTCTCTTCACACTGCGCATACTTCATATCATTTTGATGCGAAACCCTTGGTATTCCCTGTGCGGACGACAAGGTTTGGCGAAATTCTCGTGAGTCAATATGTCACGGGTTTCGCGTGTCAAACGCCACGTCTGAACAGGCCGATTTCGCGAAATCTCGGTTTTGCTAAACTGTGG